GGAAAACGAAAAAAAAAAAAAAAAAAAAAAGAGAGAGAGAATAGCGTCGCCTGGTTTAGTTCGTATCGATCGAAAAACCGAAGCAGCTCGTATTGCTTTCATCCTCGTGCTTTCGCAGCAGTGACTTGCTATGAGATTGGCGACGTGAAGCATGGAAATGAGGCTTTAAGTAAAAATTACAACGATCGTAGATACCTGTTGGGTCGATATGATAAATTGTATCTGTCGTATGTAGAAATTCATGAATTGCATAAAAATGTAATGTTGATCTACCACAGGTAGAGTGACGCAATCCGACGTCATGACGGATCGACGTTGAAATTTTGATTGGAATTAAGTTCCTTAAGTCGTTGAAAAAAAAATTTGAGTTTTCATGAAAAAAAATTGCGTAGCGCTGACATTCATGGATTCGTATGAAATATGTGAGGATAACGAGTTTTGCAAATTTTTCCCGTATGGATGCATGTATGGGGTAATTTAATCTCGTATGGCAACGTGCGACAAGCATATGCGAAATATTGAGCTTACGTGGACGTAACCATGTGCGGTATACACGTACGTAATATTGGAGAACAAAAAGCAGGAAAACATTTTAAAAAGTTATTACACGCAAACGTGACTGTAATTGCTGATACGGAAACGACAAGCAGGACAAATAATGTGGACTTTGTGATATGCGAAAAATGAATGTGTACTTTTCGAAAGTTACACATATGCATGGTAACTCCCTACCCAAGTGACAAGTAAAATATCAAGATGAAGAAAATTTCCTGTCACTTTTTCAGCTTCGCGCGAGTCCGTATAGAATACGGACAAAAAGTTACGTATAAGGAAAATATATTTCCACTCGAGTCGAGAGTTTTGCTATTGCCGTTCCCGTAGAGCATGCTGACGACGTATCCTGGAAGCAGGCCAATTTACGCTCACAATCAAAATCCCACGGGAGCGGTCCAGACAGAAAGGGAATTGAAAAAAGCTCTTATAGGTAATCCGTAAGAGGGTATTATCTTGAATTCTCGATCAGTGAAATAGCGTCGTTGGATCTAACGGGGTATAAAAAAAAATTTGTTTATATATTTTATATAAAATATAATTAATTACTATAATACGCAACGTTCATTTAATTAATAACAATTACTAAACGATTTCGTGTTATTTTTATTGTTCAATTTTTTTTAATCAAGTCAAATCTTTTCAACCCCCCGACAAGACTGGTTAATTTTGATTTTCTTTGATTTTTTATTTTCTCATCCTTCTGGACTTCCCAATTGCTCCCGGATGCTGGTCCATTTGAAATCACGTAATTGGCAAAACTTCTTCGAGGAACAGATGTGTATCTGCTGCATAGAAACGAGGCTGTCTAATTGAAAATTAAAAACCGAGCGTCTTATCAATTCGCGCTGATAAGAGCAAAGTCGCGAGTCAAATGGAATCAAAAGTGGCTAATTATGATGTTTGCATTAATTTACGCAAATTCTTAATGACTTAATACCAGTGCTTCAAGAAAAAATGCTTTAACAAATTTTTTTACCAATAAACAACCACGCGTCACATCCGCAACAATAATTTTTGCAATTTTTCGCACGAATCGTGTAAACGTGAAAAAAAACGTCAATTTGTGAAAAAAAAATAATTTTTTTGTTTCACAATAATCGCCGTGCATGTTTATAGCGTTACTGTGGGCTATTACGTAAATTCGAGGTTTCCTTCAAGTTCGAGTTAGAAGACTCAATTAACCAAGAGTGAAACGTATCAAGTAACACGAGACTAATTTCACCATTAATTTTACTGCCGAGTGTACGCAACAAAACTATACGTTAACGTACAGTCTGGACTATAAGTATGCATATAAACATGTTATAAATCAAGAATCAAATATCGAGAATGATTAGAGCCGTCGTTACAATGAAAATGCGGCAGCTTCGTGTAAATTTAGAATTAACGATCGAGTTGACATTAGACGAATCTGCTATTAAGGTTCATAATTTATAGTATAGAGACGTACTGAGAGCTTGTAGGAGCAGCAGCGCCATTACGGTGGAAGCGGAGAAAATTGCAATTAAACATGAACTATCGGTACTACCGGTACCAAGAGAACGATTATAAACGTTAACGAGGTACCTGTGCAATTAAATGCACTAGTTGAAGAAAAATTTCAAATTTACATATCGATTACAAATTTTTTCAATTTTTTCAATTAATTATGAATGAATTAAGCAAGATCACCCAATAGCGGGAAAATAAATAAAATTAAATCACATGAATACGATCTTAGCGAATTGTAACGTAACCGGTGAAACCAGCTGATTTTTTAATATTTATTTCACATCCGTTAGGTTAGTTCAGGGCCAGATTCGCAAGGCATAAAGTTCCCAGTGGGATTTACCAATTTTTTTACATCTCATGCGCATTATCCGCAGATGAAATGTCAGTCACTTTCCCTCTTTCGCACTTTTCACCCCCCCCCCCCCCCCATTCGGTTCTCGAAGACAGTCGTTCCCGTATGTCTTGCTATCGGTGTCGGGTCAAGTTAAAGAAAAAATTACGTTACAGTCTATATCCCATGTACGTATAAATATACAAGGTACGGAATTTCTCAGGAAAATATATTCCGCACAGTGCAGCCCCGATTTTTCCGTAGCTCAGGACGGAATAAGAGCCGATGCTCTTGTTTGGTAAAACAGGGAGACGATTTTTGTTTTAAATAATAATAATAATAATCCCCTCATTTCCGCTTCCCTCTCGACTCACAGTCCGATTTTTTTGTTATTCCCTCACCAACACGAAAATACCAGCAACCCGGCACTCATCGGTTATTTCGATTATCGATTCGGAAAGTCCCCGATAAGAAAAAAGATAAAGGTAGACCAAAAAAAATCCAAAAATTCACGTAATGTCGAGCAATCGATCAAAAATCGTATATAAAAAATAGATCCAAAAAAATGGTCAAAAAAATTGTATATCGTCCATTTGCAAAATTTTGGAAAAATCCACATAACACCTCTTTCGACCAACTTAAGCCAGCCCGTTAGATTGATATTTATGACACAGCCAACTTCGGGGTTATGTGACACTTCTGAATAACTTTGTATACAAGGTGTCAAAATTATAATAATTCGGCAAGTACGTTAGGCCCTGTCTCATCCCCTGTGGATATCAACAAGGGGCATGGCATCAATGCAGGGCGAATCCTACCCGCTCTACCCTCACTTGGAATTTTAAGCGAAACCCAAGTTGCTCCCCGGGTACCATTAAGGTTGTAGGTATGTACCTGCTTCCGTGACGGGTGACCTCCAAAAAAACCTTTATCGACCGAGTCGAAGGTTGAAGA